CCTGATCTGTGCCTGTCTCTCTGGCCCTGCGCGTGGAACAGGCAGCACTTCTGAGGTCCTTGCAGCTTCAGTGTTTATGAACTAATCCCAGCCTTGGGTGCACTAAGCAAAAGTAAATGGTAGTGGGGTGAATCCTTTGGCAATTTCATTCTGTGCTTCAAAATTTGACCTTCATTCTGCTTTCTGAGGTGTTTGATGAAGATGAATTGACTACTGTTGGTTAGACCTTTTGGAGGATGATCATTATGAAAATATTAGTTCTTCTCTAAACAGGGCAAGTTTAACACATGTTGAGTCCTTACATTGTGTCAAAGCTTGAGACATCTCATAGCAGTAACCCTACAATGGTAATTTAGGTTGCAGTCACACACGCGAGATAACGCGCGGGGGGGGGGACGAGGTTATTTGCTCCATAGGAATTTGACTCGCAGTTGCGTGATCACACAGTCCTGCGTGATCAGACGCAACCACGAGTGAATTGGGGGGGGGGGTTGGCTGCGTGTTTCCAGTGAGCTTCAGTGGGGGGGTTGATGATTCGTATTTCCCCACTGAGTGCTCCCTATGCAGTGTGCGATGATGCACATACCGACATGGGGAAAAACAACAGCATGGAGTCAGGATGGCCTGATCAGACTATCCCGATGCCATGGGAGTGCGCTGGAGCGATCACACAGGGGAAAGTCCATTCCTGGCCTGTAGCAAACCCATTTGCTACCAGACTTTCCCAGGTGTCTTTCTACTCCACACCTGCGGCGGAGCAAAATGGGTTGCTGATGGGTGCAGGCCGCTTCCCAGATGTTCGTGTCTGATCGCACCCTTTAAATCTACCTGGCATTTGCGCCTATGGTGCGTGTGATCACAGCCTTATGAATTTGTAGGGCTTTTTATTATTAAGTAGCCCCTCACAACCTATATACTTTTGTGTATAAACTCTGGTTCAATTAGACTTCATGCTGTAGGGTGTGTAGTTGGTCATCCAATCCAGTTGGTAATACAAAATTTTGTATAACAAAAACCTAATTTATCCAAGGATCCTGGGAAGGGAGTTAATTCAATATAGCTGGGTACTCTGACACTTTGATAAATGAAAATATGTGAGATTAAATTAGAACAATATAAGAACATATGAGAGATGTTCTATTGGACCAGATCAGTGATCCATCCAGCATCCTGTTTCACACAGTGGCCCTGGAGATCCAACAAGGCCTTCCTTGATGGCCCTTCAGGGCACTGGTATTCAGAGGCTTGCTTCTTCTGTGTAGGGCGCTTTAGTGTAAAGTTACCACAGTCACCACAGACTGACCTGTCCTCCATGAATCCCCTTTTAAAGGCATCCCAGCATTACATAGTGTAATAGTTAGAGCATTGGACTAGGATCTTGGACATAGAGGTTCAAATCCTCACCCTACCATGGAAGCTTGCTGAGCCAATCACCCACTTTCAGTCTAAACTACCTCACAGAGTTGTTGTGAGGATAAAATAGAGGAGGGGAGACTGTTGTAAGCCACTTTGGGTCCCCATCAGGAAGAAAACTGGGGTACAAACGAAGTAAATAAATGTATTCACTGGCATGAATTCTACAATATATAAAAATTGTTTAGGATACATTATCTGTGAAGGAGCAACAACAGATTAATCTGGAAACTTGTGCATTTGTGTTCCAGCACAACAGTGTCTCTGAAGAAGTAAACCATAGCCCACAGAGGTTTATGTTGTTACTCTTCAAGATGTCACAAGAATCCTGTTTGCTTTCACTGAGGCGAATGGGGTTATTCCTATGGAACACTTCTGCGTGAAATGGGATCTAGTATAACAGCAGAGGAGGAAGTTTGGGAACATTTATTTGCCAGATTAGCAAGATCTGGAAAGAACTTCTGTTCCTCTTCTGTTACGGGTATTTAAACCTGGGTGTGGCCAGAGGCATGAACCAAGCCTGTGGCATGTTGCCTGTGGCATTGAGTGAGCCAAACTGTTGCCCTGCAAGGAGCGTATAGTGCTCTTATGGATTTATAGTTCACTAGCCGTAAAGCCCGTTGAGGAGGAAGACAACGGGCCCTAAAAAGGTAGGATGGGTGGGTGGGCCATGGGTTGGGGGGGGAAGCCGGCGGACTGTTCCCCGGTCTGGAGTGGGCGCGGGGGTGGGGGAAGCCGGCGGACAGGGCCTGTAGGCCCCGTTCGCCAGCCTGGAGTGGGTGGGGAGGTGGGGGGAAGCTGGGGGGGAGCCGACGGACGGG